TAATTAGTCTGAAAGCAGAAGTCATTCACACTCAGGAGGTGGAAGGTGTCTCTGCCAATGCCCCTTGCCCAGATGGCTCTGATAAGGCCCTGATTAGCAGCAAGTCTCTAGCCCCAGATAACAACTGCTTACAGTGATGAGAAAAGGGAGGTGGTGACACCTGTTTGCTACATTTGGTCAACTACAGAGTAACTGTGGAGCATCTAGGAGTAAACAGCTTATAGCTGGGGGCCAAGAGAGGGCTCAGAGCATAACAGTTGCTGTAAAACTGATGCAGTCCACAACAAAAATACTTTAAAACCACAATCCATCCTTCCTTCCTAGCAAAATACACATACATCATGTAGAGCTACTCATTCCAGAGAGGAAAAACAAGAGCAATAATCCCTCCAAGATTTTACAAACAGCTTGCAGTGCTAGACAGAAACCAGTGGAAAGAAAAAGAAACACAACGGATGCCTTCAAACAAACCCACAGAACCCCTGTGAAGCATGGAGGTGTGTACAGCACTTATCCTCCTTGGGGGGATCTAAATTCATCCCTCAAAGGTGCAGCTCCCAGGCACTGACCAGAGCAGCCCCTTTGGGTGCTCATGGACATCTTAGGGACTGCAAGACACAGGCTACAGCAGAGCATTACACCAGCCATGGGGCTGGGCTGGCTCCTTTCATGTTTTGCTATGAAGAGGACGAGAGGGAATGAGAGGAAATATTTGTGCATGTAGAAAGGTGGAGGGCAGGGGTGTGTAAGGATGGCAGGCAGCACACATAGTGTTCCTGTCTGCACTGCTATGGAGCTAGACAGAAAAATACTCACCTCGTGCCTCTCAAGCATCGCAGGCATTTCTAGCACTACCTGAATACACTGCTAATAAGAGGCAACAGTCAGGAGGAAATCTGAATGAGCAGCTCAAGATAAAATTTTTCCAAGTTGCTTACCTGTCACCTGCCATCGTGCGCCTGCTGAAAGTCTCATTATTTGATTGCAACATCAGCCCTTGCAGAACACTTCCCTGAACTCTCTGTCAACCACACCTACCTGTGGAAACAAGGTGTTATGATTGGAAGAGCAGTCTCCAACATGGAGAGAAACAAAGCGATGGGAGTGGTGGCAGGAAGAAATGGGAGAGGTGGGCTGGTGAGACATCGCTGCTGCCAGCCCTCTCCCCTGGAAGGAAATGTCTTCTGGGAGGGTTAGGGAGGAGAGAAGAGCAACTACTGCTAAGTTTGATTTCACACGTGAACTTCAGACATCTGCAGAGGTTATCTGCCATTTTGTGTCACTGTCCAAGCACTCTGGCTGATAGTCCAGGGCCTCTGCTGTCCGACTCAGTAATGGCCAGAAACACATTGTCTAAACGCCAGCTGGTAGCCCATTTGCTTCAGCTATGTTGAACTACTATGCACAGCTCCCGCAGAGAAAGCATCCCCTTTCCCCTCAGACTATGGCTGTAAAAAGCAAACATGGCAACTTGGCAATTCATGGCCAGTGGTTTTTGACTCAGAGAGATCCCACAGTTGACTTTCTCATATACTGGCTGTTGTCATGGCAAGCGGAGGCGGGAAGGAACAACATAAGAGATGGTTAGTCCTTGACACACTCCATCCTTGGACTAATGGCAGCTCCCCAGCAAAACAATCCCAACAGCAATTATCAAGGCTCTTTAAAATGGGAAAAGCAAAAACAGATTAAAAAGCCATTTGAAACCTTGAAGCTGAATGCCAAGTGGAAGAGAACGCTGAGCAGCCAGGGCTGCGCACACTCGGTGAACAATGCCGAGACGCTTCACTGTACACAAAGCTAAATGGACCCCAACTGTCAAACCTGAGCAAGGCTGTGGGGACAGCACTTGACAGAGTGGCAATCGGTGCTGCTTTACCCTGAGTGGTTACAACATGGAAAACCTTCCACAGAGGGGCTGAGGAGCACTGCCGTGCTCCCCTGACATCGCCACCACAAAGTACCAAAGAGAGGCAAGACAAAAGATGACTTTCAAGTGCAGAATTCAATTATGCTCCAGCCATCCACATGAATCACCATTCCACTGGCTGGATCATTTTCTTTCCTTGCTGGAGCCAGCCCAAGGATTTGGAGAGTATGTGCAACCTGGGAACGGAAAAAAATCTTTTCACTGTTTCAAGAATGGCAAGCAGTTGTTACTGAGCCAAAGCTTTATTGTTTCCAGTACTAATACACTACATAAAAGTTGTAAGGGATGGAGACAAGAACAAGAAAGTAATAAAAGAAACACAAATGACAAGAGCAGACTAAGCAGTATCCACTGAGGCCTTCTTGTCCACCTTGAGCCAATTCAAAAGGCTGAGAAATGGTATGGGTTTAGGATAATATTCCAATGAAAGCTACAAAACACAACCAAGAAAGACACAACGAAGGGGAAAGCGGTCTTTAACAGAAAATATGAGCTATGCCTGTTCCTCCATCACATTCATATGTGGCTAGATCACATTCTCCTGGGCTATATCCTTCCCTCAATCCATAAGAAGCTTTTCCATAGATGACTGAACACTTGTGGTTTGAACTCAAGTGGGACTACTTCATGGAGGTAAGATATAGAGGTAAGAAGTTTCCAGTCTCACTGGTACAAGAGCAGTCCCAGATTTATCTCTGACACTGTTTATATAAAACCTAGTCTCAGTTAAAACTCAAACCCATGCCTCAAAGCAGCACAGTAAGCCAGCAAGGATTACCAGGTTCCTGTGCAGAGCTGGCAACCCACAGTGTGGTAAACGCTGTGGGAAGTGAGAGTGGGAGTGAAAACACAGCAGACCTGCCTGTACTGCCCAGGAATGAAGCACAAGAAGAGTTAGAAATGACATGCTCTGGTTTAAAAACTCTTTCCAGCTCAGTGTAGTTTTTTATGAGAAAGTAACAGGTTTAAAGAAAATTGAGTCAATTTTTAAGTGTCTTTTTCCTTCTTCTTCCATAGAATTAACTTAGGCTGTCAGGCCAGACTGTCTGAGACACTGCAGTAATGACAGTGTAAGCAAGACAGCCTCAGTAGGACTGTCAAAAGCTCCAACGCAAAACAGGACTTACTTTGGTGGCAAAACACTTCTGAAATTGAAGACCCTACAGCTCACAGAAGAAACAGTATAACTTCCGCTCTGAAATAATACCAGCATTGCAGCAAAAGCTGACTTTTGGATTTACTTTTTCAGAAATAGTAATTTTGGCATTACCCCTTTCAGAGATGCTGCTGGTTGAGTCTCAATGGCCAGGTTTAAACAACACAGACCACAGCATAAAGCATCCCTTAGTGGAGTACAACCTCATCCCTTGCTCCTTCAACACCAATGTTGTGAAGCCCACATTATGTGGTTTCTCTTTATGCCATCTCAAAGAGCCCACATCATCCAAAGTTTTCATTTTTCAAAGGGCAGAAATAGATCACAGAGGAAGAGCTGGAAGGAATTTCCCAGCAACCTGCCATAGCGTGGTAACTGGAAAAGCAGTAAGGGAATGCTCCTCTATTGGACCATGGTCATTTAGAAGGAAAGTCAAGGACTGATTTCTGATCTCCTGTTAGAGTGTTCCAACACCCAGTCTCATTTATCTTCATACTGCAGCCATTTGTAAGAGCATATACCACAAAGCACTCAACAGCAAAGGAGAACAAAACAAAAAAGAGTAATAACCAAGGGAAAAGGCTAACATTAACAGGCACAAATTGGCTTTAAATCCATGATTTCAGAAGGAACTTTTTGGAATCCTTTGTTTCTTCTGCTAAAGACAGGTCAGATTGAAAGCATTTAATAAAATCCACAGACTCCTACTTGCTTAATGTGGGTTTTGTTCAGGACTTCAAAGATCTAATTGCTCAAGAGACATCAGGTAATTTGATTTTTCTCATTTGTCAGGCCTTAGAGGGATATTGTCCATCCTGAAGAATAAGCAGGACCAGGGCACACAGCTTTCTACAGCCTGACTCATGGTGACACCATCACAGTCAACCAGATGCTCAAGACTTGCAGTAAAAAGGTAAAACAAAGGCCCCTGCTAATGCAAGAGATGACAAGGTGTGCATATGGAAGGAGAATCTGCAGAGCTTAACAAGATAAAGTAATATGAAAGCTTTTATCCTATTTGGACACACAAAGGCAGCCAGTGGGCCATGGGGTGATGGGCATTCTCACACCAGGAGATGCAGCACACATGCAATGCCCATGATCCCACTGCCAAAACACCACCACAGGACACACAAGCCAGTGCACAGCCAGGAGAACCAAAAAATTCACAGCAAACTTCGAGTGTTTCTTTACTACCCGAAGTGTCTCCCTGAGCAGACAGCCCTATCACAGAGACCTCAATGGAAGTGAACAGGAGCACAACTTCACCAGCTGATTCAGGATGCCCCCACCAAACTCATACCAGACCAAAACAACAATGACAAGAAACACAAAGGGTAACACCCTGGTCCCAAGGAGTCAAGTGCAATTCAAAACCCTGGTCTCTCCCTTGGGGCTCACAGAGAGAAATTCACCCCTGGGCTGAGAAGCAGTAGAAGGGCTGCAGTCTCCTCGCTTCTCATTTCAGTGATAGAGGGGTGAATTTCCCTTTCTTCTGAAGATTGCAAAGCCAGACTGCAAGGCTAGGAGCTGAACCCAGGGCTGGGCTTTACAAACTAGGAACAGCAGAGGCAGCATATGTTTCTTCAGCTCCCGTGAGCACTTTGTGCATCCTTTCCAACAAACACGGGTCTGGGCCCCACGGCAGCACTGCACAGCACAGCACCCTTTTCCAAGCAGCACCCCAAAGTGCAAGTCAGTCAGCAGAAGGGGAAACCAGACCAAACCATAAACCAGGTTAGTGAGGCAGGGAGGACAGGCAGGTGCTTCCTCAGGTGCCATAGTGTTGCTAATGCCTGTGAAAGAGCATCATGAGGTCACCACTGGCAGCAGTTGTTGTCTGGAGTGAGGTCTACAGGAGTGGGCAAGGGGCAAGCATTGGATCCAGGCAAAGCAGCTCCATCTTCACCTCCATCAGTGTCGTGTTCTGGTGTGGATGCGCCGTTTGCCTTCAAAATACACAAAGACAGAAGTTTTGTTTGGAAAGCAGTGAAGGGGAGAGGGCTTGACAAAGTTATTATTTTACGTTGCTTTTACATGCTCAGTGCCATCTTAAGAGCTTCCTAAAAATAATAATGAAGAGAACGTCTATACATCATTACTCCACACTCTGTCAGCAGTCAGGGCCCATTAAACTTTATTAAAGAAAGAAAAGACAGGGGAAAGAAATGGGGAAAGGAGGAGAAAGAAGGAATTGTATTGTTAGAACTGGTCCTCTAGTGTATGCTTCCCTCAAAAGGCCAAATCAGACAGAAAGCAAAGCCTCAGCTCTCAGACGTTTCCAAACCAGGTGACAACATCTATATCCCACAGAGCAGGTCCTCCGCATGATCCTGCTGCCCTCCATGTGCCTGGCCATGGATAGGAGCCATGGCAGAATGTAGTCCCTGCCATGGCTGGGGATGGGTGCAGGATAGCAATGCTCTGCTGCAGAAGGTACTCTGGCTCATGTCAACTAAATGAACCTGAGCTAATCACTTCAGCAGTCGCTGGTGAAACTCAGGTTCTGCTGGGACATGCTGCTTCCAGTGCATGGGGTGAAATGTGGGGCTGGCAATGTGGAGTGGTCTAAGACAGCAATGGGTCAGTACTAACTTCTCTCCACCTTCTCTGAACTGAAGGGGACATAAATTATGTTCACTCCAAGGAAACAGACAGGGGATTTTTCCAGTCACTGTGTTCATTTGAAATGTTTAAGGCACAGGGAGTCCTGCAAATTCCTCCCACTGGCTACTGGCTGATGTCCCAGTTGAAAGATAACCTCCTGAGCCATAAAATCTCTCAAAGTGTTTACGAAGAATCCAAAATTCAGACTTTTAACTTCCACATGATTCTGTAATACTGACTTCCCATGCTCTTTCCTTTATGCTTTGTTTTGACAGATGATATCAACTATTGCCCTCAGAGCTTTGTGCAAAATACTGAATAGAAAGCTGGAAAGCATGAGTAGTAAATGTGTTGCAAAGGGCAGAGAATAAGTCTAAGGACATGGGGGCAGGAGGCCAGACAGGCTGGTTGATCAAAGACCAAAGCACAGACCTCTGCAATGTGAAAGAAGGCACAAAAATAGGATTTTCATCTTCAGCAGCAGACTTGTTTCCAGATATATTGAGTGAAAGTGGCAGGAGAATGAGTCTTTGTCATTCCTCTATTTTCAAGGGAAAAGTCTTCAATTTAAAACTCCATAAAGAATTACAGAAATAGTGAAAGTAATTTATTTTTAGGTACTCGAGCCTTTATTCACTTCAATTCAAGGCTGAATTAAAAGAGCTGAAAATGTTTTGGTTCTTCCACTTTTTGAGGACGAAAATATTTTAATTCCTTAAAACATGGAAGGGGCATATGCTTCTTTTGAGGTTCATATTTACAAATGCATTGTGTCTAGAATGCAAACCTTAAATCACTTCCTAATGCTGTCACTACCCGAAATCATGTTTTATTTATAAATACAGCAGGACCATTCAGTGCTCTGCAGTACCAATACGAGGAGACAGAGACAGCTCAATGCTTCTGAGCCATGAAGGCACAATTCAATTTTTTAACTTTGTGGAAGAGGGACAACTCATCCTCCTTGGCAGCAGGAAAACTCAATGCTGTGGCAACAAGCTTTGAGCAAAGGGAGGGGGGCAAACAGCAGTGCACCAACATTGATGAGGCAGCCAGTGCAGAGGCTTGGAGCGAGAGGGTGGCTGTGGGTGAGTCTCCTCCACATCTGACCCACCCTTCCTTCCTAACCTGTGCCCTCAGTGCAGGCAGAGGCTGAAGGCAGACAGAGGAAGAGCAGGAGTTGTAAGCACAGCTCCCTTGCGTGGTTACCCACCTATTCCACCCTGGTGCAAAGCCAGCCCTATGCTGTTTGGCTGTAGTTCAACATGGAAGAGGGAGCAAGCAGTCTGAAAACATTTAAGCAACTTTCTCACCAAGTGCAGGAAAACAAAAGTCAACTCCCCAAAGACTGCCTTGAAGAAAGTCATTAAAGAAATTACTATCCCATTTGGAGCCTAATTACTGTTAGGACAATTTTTTTTCCTACATGCAATGGAGTAGTTAGACCCACTGAAGCATCATCATTCCTGAGTGAGCAAACAGACATTTGAGAAACAGAATGGAAGGAAAAAAAGAAGTCCATGCTTTAACTTCAAAGATGCCCTGAGAATATCCTGCCACAAAAATAATGCAGAATGGCTCTGCCTGTCATGTATTAACAGCTTGCATATTTATGAGCAAAAGTCGATGCATACCCCAGCCGGGTAGGCGCTGAGCCACAGAGATAGTGACACCACCTCATGTCTAAATCCAGTCAATTTGTGAAAGAAGGGGCATAAATGTCCCCAAATTAAGAGAGACAGAAGCAGCATTTCCTGCCCATCTCTCTCAGCTTCAGGTGCTTTTCTCATCTCTGCTCAGCCTCTCCCAGCTGCAGCCCAAGGGAGGCATCCAGAAGCTGCAGCTTTAGCACCCTGGGAGAAGAGGCCAGGCTGGACCTGCTGACCACTTCTGGAGGTCCTTCCAGCTGGTCTCATGCTGTGATTGCAAGCCATGATGTTTCTTATAACCCACCAGGCACTGCCATCACCCTCTCAGCTCCCAGGCCCAACACCACCACTGTTTAACATGGCTCTGCTTAACTGCCAGCTGCTGTACCACTCTTTAAGTATTAATGATTTAGACAACACACTGGCAAACAAGCAGAGATGGAGAGACTGTGATGTGTGCTTACAGTATGCTTCTCATTAATTAGCTTATCTTGTGGCTGTTCTCAGACCTCCTCTTTGAAGCACAAATCAGAGCCTTCTCCAGCCCATAGCCCCTGCCAAGCTCATTCACAGTTCCCTACCAGCAAGCTGTTCAGGTGACCCACAGAATACCAAACAGGATAGGACTGACCTGCTCCCGAGACAAGAGAAGACACTGAGGACCCTATTAACTAGACCCACTGAAGTAGAACTTGCTACTGATCTGAGGAGAGGTGCCTTTTTCTCTCTGTTTATGCCCTGCAGCAGCCAGGCCTAAGCTCAAAGATGTTATTACCAGTGAAAGCTCTCCATGAGCAAATGAAAACCACTGTAAGATATTGACGAGTTCTTTAATTGTTTAATATTCCCTTTCTTTATTAAAAATATCATAATTAGCAATAATGAGGATTTTGCTCTTTTTTTAGCTGAGGCATCTCTTTACACATCAGCTGTACAGCCAGAACAAGGTGAGTCACCTCCCTAGCTGGGGGTAAGGAGAAAAAGGAAGATTGTGCTTCTTCCCTGTGTGCAAATTTCATTCTCTTTACAATAAAACATTCTGCAGGAAAACCAGCACGTGATCTTCCTCTTAACAACTACCGTGTCAGAACGGACACCTCCAAGAACTGAAACTTCAGAAAACAATGCTTTTGAAGGGCTTTGAAGGCAGACAGTAGGAAAAAGAAAAACAATTGGCAGCCTCTCAATTCACCACTCTCTTCTGAAACTTTGGCTCATGGACTGAGGTTGCCTAAATCCCAATGCAGCTCTGACCATGAGTCATTTTATGACAAACCCCAGGCCTCATTATCTGCCTCACCAAACCCCAGCCAGAGCAACACACTGGAAACCTACAAACTCTTCTTAATAGCTCCTTGTTTCCCCTTGGCCGCACTACCATGCTGTCGCCTTGGCCTTCAGGCTTAAAGAGCTAAGGACTATGACAGCAGCTGCATTTGCAGTACCACTCTCTAATTCCCTGTTCTGGCTGTGGGCTGGGATTTAAGAATGCTAAAGTGTTTTGCAAAGTCACACTTGAGAGCAGAATTAGAGCATAGGTGAGAATAAGAAGTGAAAAGAAAGTCACCGGTAGTATACCACCAGAGGTGCTAATATGAAGCAAAATTTGCTCCCAACACAGTGTTATAAAGTTACAGAGCCTTTCAGAAAAGTTGTAAAAACCCCCTCCTTTTAACATCCCCATTCTGCAGGTGTGCATCAGCACTTTAAGTAAGAAAGCATCTTTGCCACTTGCTCTGCTTTTGGGTCAGAGCGGAGCACAGGCAGGGAGATGTCCGACAGGCAGGGAGATGTGCAGTGAAGATGCCAGTCCTGACATACAGCACACATCACCTCCACAGCTCTTTAAAGATGAACAGCAGGAGCCTCTGCTTTTTGGCAACCAGTGGCATCCAGAGGGACCCATCATGAAAAGCCCCTCACAGACAGACAAAGCTCTAATCTAAAGATGGGGAGAGGCACTGCCAACAGCTCCAAGGCTCTCAGCATTTGCACACAACAGACCTCCAGCACTCCAGAGTACATCAACCCCACTGCAGAGCAGGACGCTTCCTAGGGCACTACAGCACTGGTTTTGCTCTTCTCTTTATTTTCTGCTCTTGCCAGGCCTCTCGCAAAGCATGGGGGCATTCAGTACTGCAGCCTCCTGGATGCTTGATATGCTCAAACCACCTGCTAGAATTCCACACAGCTTATGTCACTGCATACTGCTCATTATTGGATTCAATATGTAATGGATCATGATTGGCAATAGTTTGCTGCATAGATCACACTGTGGCAGTGCCTCTCCAGCTGGGCACATCAAGTGCTCTCAGAGCAAACGAACGCTGACCATGCTTGCCCCTGCTGCTCACTCACTGCACAGAGCCAAGGCCACATCCCAAACAATCAGAGGGAAAACAAACTCACTTTCCCTCTCTCTGTCCCACATTGAAGTGCTGAAGACGACCCACACTGTGGGACAGAGCATGCAGCCATGGCAAACATAACACAGGCACAGGTTCCTGCTTCACCTCCTTGCAAAGACCTTTGGTGGAGTCTCTACAGCTGCCCTCACCAGTACCCACATTGCTGTACACAGGACATGCTCAAAGACAGACCACTCTGTAGCCCACTTCCTGTGGTCACAGAGCCACAGTCGTAGTGCCACCTAACTTCCTGCAAGGCCCAGAAGGATGCTTGGCTGGTGGCTGGTTCCTGATGCGACACAACATAGAGAACCCTGCCCATTGCCACCCTAACATCAGCTCCCAAGCCTGTGCCTGCCGGCTGCAACGACCACCAGCTCCATTCCCTCCCCAGCACATGCCAGCAGAATTACTCGCTACAGTCTCGCTGCCTCCTTCCCCTGGCCCTGGGGCCATGGAACCCTCCTACCAAGGCACTCCCTGCTGTAAGCACCACCTCTGAAGAAAGCAGCCCCTTCTGCAGGAAGGCTGGGAAATAAATGACTGCAGACATAATGAAGACCTTTACAGATACTCTTTAGTCAGCCAACCTCGTTTAACTTTTTCCTTAGCAAGATCCTCTCCTACATCTCAGGGACTATTATAACTAGGCTCATGAGATTGCTATAGTTTTCATTTTTTAAATCTATGTCCATGCTGCCTGTCATTTTTAGCTCTCCCTTGCCTAGCAAGGAGAGATCCCACTGGAAAGCACTGACCCGTTCTGCCAAACTTTGCATACGAGGTTTTTAGCAGCAAAAAGGCATTTTTTTTTGCCTCTACAGATATTATTTGCACTGTCATGACCAGGCAGCAGTTAGTTCCAACAGCTGTCAGGAAAGCTCCAAAGTGCTAAGTGCTGTATGCACACATGGTTCAGAGGTGTGCATCCATCCAGACTTCGGCATGACCATGAAGCACCAGCACAAAAATCACCCAAGGGGTCATAGAATCCTAGAATAGTTTGGGTTGGAAGGGACCTTAAAGTTCATCCAGCTCCAACCCCCTGCCACAGGCAGGGACACCTTCCACTAGAGCAGGTTGCTCCAAGCTCTGTCCAGCCTGGCCTTGAACACTGCCAAGGATGGGGCAGCCACAGCTTCTCTGGTCACACCTGCTATCCACCACCACTCACTTCGATCCTGCAGGACAACTTGCGGCTCTGCTCCACAGCCACCAGAGCCAACACACAACAGCAATCAGATGTCTCTAATGCCACAGCCAACAGGGACTTAAAATAAACCACCCCATCCAGGACAGCACTATAATCCAGTGAGATGACAGACAGAGCAGAAGTATCACTCATCTGATTTGCTTTGCAAAACCAAGAATTAAAGAAAACTGCAAATGCCTGAAACTTTGGAGAGGGAGGGAGGGAGGGAAGAGCAGAGAAACAATTTTATGCTGGCTATTTCTAGCAGGAAGCGTGGGGAGGGGGGACAATGACTCCATGTTGCACTAGAGGATAAACCTGCTCTCTCTAATCCAATTTACGCCTCAACATGCAGAGCACAAAACAGGCTCGGGAACAAAAGGAGTGGCAGCTTACAGGGCAGCAGGAACACTCTGGAGAGAGCAGCACTAAACGATAACTTAAGGGGTTATTGACTAGATTAGTGGGAGCTGCAGAGAGAACACATTTGCATCTCTTTCAGCTGCTCCAGATCAGATGTGATAGCAGCCTCTGCTCTCACAGTCACTTAATTGTTCCAAGGTTGTTGAGGGGGGAAAAAAGTGTGTTTTTTCTTGCACTGCAGAGTTCTGGGAAGAGCAATTCTTGGCTTTAAGAGCCATCTAACATTAGGAAAATTTTTATCCAGTCTCATAAAGCTGTTGGACTTCTGCTTTGCTTCGGTAAATGCTCAATCAGTTCTGCTGCCTCTGCAGGGCAGACAGAAGCTCGGGGCCTTGGCTGGGACAAAGACTCAGTCTACCACTGCTCTTGGAGGTGGGTGTAGGCAGCTCCCACCTCAGACGATTACTCATGTTGCAGAATAATTCTGCACTCAGGGGAGAGGGAAGGAGTGAGCTGTAATGTTTTGACAGCATCTGCCATGAGAAAAACAGCAGGGAAAGGTGATCCCGGGCTGCAGCTTTGCCAGGTGTGCAGCTGAGAAAGCTGTGCTTTGAAACAAGTCAGCTCCCAAAGCATGGATCTGCCCAGAGAACAGGTTCAGCTTACCAGGGACTCTGCTGCTGGCATCGCTATCACGCCCGTCGGCCGGCTGGTCGCTGTGGCAGCTCTCCGTGGCACTGGGGTCAGCCCCTTGCTCGCTGCCCAGGCTGCTGCGGCTTGCCGAGAGGCTTGGGGAGTGGGTGCTCCCCAGCACCTTGCCCCTGGCCTGACTGGGCTCCCTGATGGGTGCTGCAGGGACACAACAGAGAGATGCTGCTGGGGGATGGAGAAGTGGATGCTCCTAAAAGCCTCCCCACTGCCAGCCAGACACCCTCAGGAACAGGATCAATACCCAGTTTTTGTGCTCTACTTCTAAACCAGCAGTAGTGATCTATAGAGTCACACACTATAGAGTCACAAGTGAGGAGCTGGCTGGAGATGTGCTGCTAGGTGATCCGGAGCAGCTCCCAGCTGCAAGGGCAGTTCCTGGAAGGCTGCAGGCAGTGGAGCAACCCACTAGCTGTTTGACTTATTGATGTTATTCCAGGGAGAAAGGATCAGATCATCACCTGGCACAGCTACAGCCAGTGGGCTGCACCAGTGTAGGGCAGGCAAATGGCTGAGTCAAAATCCATGGTGCTAAGAGCCAAATATTCAAGCACTTTACACTTCCCACCCTATAGCCATAAGGAAGAGCAACTCCTCACCTAGTCCTGCTTGGTGCTTTCTGCCTCGTGAGCCTTTTGACCCTGCAGGTGAGGGCTCATCATCCAGGCTGGAGGAACCGAACTCTGAGTCACTGTCACTAGAAACCACTGCAGAGAAGATCAGGGGGAGGAGAGGAGAGAGACAGTTATTCACAATGTTCATAACACATAGCAAAGAGGGTGCCAGAAGGATCCAAATAAAACATGAACAAATGCTGACGTGCTGATCACGTTCTCCCTCTCCAAAAGCAGCCCTACCTGCAGTTCCCCCACAGCTGTTCACTCTTCCTCTCAAACACGATGTGCTTTTACTTTTTACAGCTGATTTATAACTTCACTGCACACACTCCAGTAGTGCCGGCACCTGAAGAAGATGCACACACTACCAGTGCTGCTCTGCTAAACCTGACTGGGGCCACGGGGATCACACTGCTTCTGTGCTGTGCTTTGCTGCCCAAAGCTCCCTGCTGCAAAGCCAAATGCCCTGCAGCATGGCTGGCCTGGGAGCTGGGCTCTGTTCCCACTGATCCCCATGCCGGCATGCCAGCAAGCACTCCTTCTCCTGATGTTTGCCATCTGCTACAACATGCGAAGGGCTGGCTATAAGGCTGGGTCCTGCTCAGCTGCAGGTGGAGGGTCCTGGCTGCACTGTAAGAGCATCTACGACTGAGTAATGTAGGGAGAGGGGGGCTGGCTTCCTCCGAGGTGCATTTCAAGTGCTGCAGGGCCTTTGTGGATGCTCCAGGATGTATGAGGAAAACACCAGATAAAACTGAGCACATCAAATAAAAAATCCTGCAGCAATTACATGATGAACCAGTGTTACTAGCTCATTGTCCATTCAGCACTCATCCCTGTCAGCACACTCCCCAGAACTGTATTACTCCTGTACTCTCAAGGCTTGAAAGGCAAGGGGCCCTCCTCTTCCTCAAGGAGATTGTTCCCCCATTTCAAGACGATATTTTTTATTTCTCCTGGCCATAAGCCTGCTGCTTTCCACACTCCATAGTTTCCACAAGAGCTGAAAGAGCCTCATTTTGCCAGACAAAACTTCCCAGACTGGCAAGTTGTTTCCACTTTTCCATGCAACTATGCAAGTACCTCTCCAGCATATATCTGTGTAACAGATAACTCAACTGCCAGCTGCTCTGGGTTGAGAAAGGTGTTTTTCCAGATCCTGGGTTTTTATAATGGCCTGATCTCAGAACAGAAATAATGGGGCTGAGAAGGAAGGTAATGAGAAAACAACTGTTCTTTGAGGGATTGCACCTACAGCATTTCTCTGACCAAGGCAGATACCAGCTCTCCTGGCAGCTCAGAAGCCATTTCAAACAATGGGCCACAATTCATAACAGAAAGTACAATATTGGCTCATGTGGGATACAGAGTAGGCAACACTGCAACCTACAGCCTCTACTGTAGAAAAAGGAAGCCCCAACTATTTCTTCATATTCATCACTATATACATGCATGCTCACATTCACATAAGTGAGTTCCCTGCTTTGGTACTGAGCAAACCACTTTGCCCCACACCACGTAACCAACCTGACAGCGCTGCCAGGTGCAGGAGGGACGTGAGTGCTGCAGTGGTACAGGGTGACAAGCACGGGGTAGCAGAGAGCTGTCAGTTCGTCTCTGTACCAGCCCTAAAATTCACTACATGCAGCTCACAGAGCTACAAGCGCTTTAACTCTGCCCAGGGCAGGAGGATGGGTATCCCTCCCCTCACACAGGCAAACACAAGCTGTCAAACATTGCTGGCAAGAACCTCTGCAGATGCGCCTGTATTCAGGCAGCGATCTGTACTACACAAAATATTTTACAAAAAAAAATAATAAATTAATACCTAAAATAGCACTTTGCTGGAGTTAACATCTCTGAGGATATTAAAGCTGGCTGACAGAGTTATTGCAAAGCATTATTGAGGTTGCTGTGGCGGGCAGCTCCCCACGCACACCATGCTGCTGGGAAGCTGCTTTGCTGCCTGCACAGCCTTCCAAGGGAATCAGCTCCTCCTGCACCTGCAGCCTTCCCCTCCTGGCACCATCAGGAATCGACCTCTTACGTGCAGGGAAAGGGGCTATGGAGCTGAGCCAGGCACAGAGCAAAGTCCTGGTACAAGCAGCAAGGCTTCACTTCTTGCTAAGGTCTGGCTTTGGGTTTTGCCATCTTAAAGACAGGTTCACCACTTCCCCAAAGCTCCCCGGGAGAGGTGGGGAATTATATATAAATACTATATATAAAAAGTATAGATAATACAAACCAGACATACCAGTATGTATATTTTTTGCTATAAAATCCAAATCTCAGGTGTGAGAATCACTCTGACCGTTGCACTGCCCAATTCCCTCAGAAAATGCACTCCTGTCATGCTTGGTCATGATCCTTTTCTGGCCTCCTGGATTTGTAAAATCCATCCCTTTAGAACAGCTTCTTCCGCCATGAATCTTTTAAAAATTCTGTAGATCAGGATTTATTTGGAGAAGGCCCCAGTGAATCAGTGGAGGTGACTTTAGCTGCCTTCTTTTCTGCCATTCAGCAGGTCAGAGAGGACCAGCAGAAGAGGAAGAAAATATTAATGACACAAAGGCACTTGTACCACAGGAGCAGCCCTGTCTGTTCTCATTTCCTCTACTGCCAATAAGAGTGTATTTTACCCACTGTACCAATAATTCCCTTTAAGGTAATTTTTCTCTCAAAGCTCCCAGACCTTCTGCTGGCACTTTCCAGAGCCCAGAAGTCATAAATCTGGCGTTCCAGCAGTTGCTGATATATCAATAAGAGTCGTTGGACCACTGTACTTTGAGAGAACATAACAGATTTATCCCTCAATATCCAGCTGACTGAAAAAAAGCTCATAAAAAAAATATGCAGAGATAAAACTTGCAAGAAAAGCAATATTCACACAGGGAATGGGTCACTCATCAGGAGCCTGAATCCCTCTGGCAGCAGCCAGATGGTTGGGAGATGAAGAGTTACAAACAAAGTGTCTCACTGAGTGCAGCTCCTATACTAGATCATGACCAGCATGGGCCACAGTTACAAGGACATCTCCAAGCAGGAAGAGGGGACTGGACTCAACTGCTCTCCCTTTTAGAAGCATCACACTTGTAGAGAAGTTGGATGATCCCCTCGATGGCCTGCAAAGCACTTGATGTAGCCCAGCACGCTCCTCTGCTCCATCACTCAGGATTTAGCTTCCAGCACACAGAAGCCAAATGAACCCACTACATCCCCCTGCCCAACTGCTGCTCCTCTTCCTCTGATAGTGACAGCACTGAGCCCAGCACATCCCATTGCTTGGCAACAGGACTAGAGCACATTGCAACAGGAGAAACCACCAGAGACCGAGCAGAGCAGCAGGCAGCCCTCATGCCAAACAGAGCAAGAGCTCAGGGATCACACTTCTCTTTTTTTCCGCCCAGATGCTTTACATTTTTTCTGCAGAACTCGGAGTTCAGAAGAAGGAAAGCCCTGCTGCTTATTGCTCCCCACCCCCTGACGGCTGCATCCTGCCTGACCCAGTGCAGAAACCCACCCACATTCCACCACATGGAGCAGAGCTGTTCCCCAGCACAAGAAATATTACTGCTATTCTCCCCATGACAATACATTTGTGCCTTAACTAATAGCAGGGTTCCCATGGCAACTGCTTGTTTATTACTGAAAAACTAAAGGCAATGGCAAATCCCAGTATCAGCGAGCGCCAGAGGAATAATGGGTGTGTAAAAATAAAACTTCTTCCTGGTGGGTTTGCCTTTTCTTCCAAGAGGCACGTTCCTGCAGTCCCTCAGTCCCGCTGCCTTCCCACCCTCCTGCGGCAGGAGCAGCTGGTACCCAGAGCCTGGCACTGATCCCTCCCTTTTGAGGGGAAAAAAGGGATACTTGAGGTTTGTCCCATCCCTCCTGGCACGGAGGATGCCAAAAGGACACCCTTCTCTCCCAGGCATTCGAGAGGCTGTGCAGGGGCATAACTGTGCCTGTGCTGGTCCCACCTGACTTGAATCCCTTCAGAACTGAGAGATGGCTCCTTCAGCACCTCAGGAGGTAAGCAGTGAAGTTAGACACGGCTGTCCAAGATAACGGAAACCCCACCGAGAGCAGCCTGTCAGAGGCAGGCATGTGAAATGCCAGAGCTCATTCCTGAGAACATCCTGGCAAACAAGCAACAGGGCTTCACTCAGTGCTGAAAAGACGTGTTCAGATGAGGGTGTACGAGGTGTGAGCAGACAGATGCTATCAGCCAGGGAGAGGTAAGGCAGGCTGTCTTGTTAGCCACGGCCTCATAAAGCTCAGCCCAGGCCCAGTCACAGATTCATGCTGACAAAATCACAGGTTTATCATCTCCACAGGGGAAGGCAGATACTCTGCACATTTGCAGAGGTTTTGGGTGACAAAAACCAAAAGTCCCAGCACTGGCAGGTGAAAGACACTTAAATGGAGGGGTAAGCTGTACAATCTCCCAGCTTCAGAGATGGATTACAGCCTGCAGTGCCCACTGAAAGCTGTCCAGAGGACAGGTAGCCTAACAGAGAAGGGCAATAAGGAAAGAAAGCATCAGAAAATAAAATAATAAATTAGTATTATCCAACCCATAAACCAGCTACCAGCCAAGTATCAGAGCACAGGGAGAAAGGCAGCTCACCACTCACATCCAAGCTTACCAAAGGCCACTTTGCTGTCCTCCACCCACTTTTCTGCTCCTGCCAGTATTCAGTGGGAGGCCTTCTCCCAAAACAAAGCTCAGCTAAAAAGCTGAACTAAAAAGCAGGCCAGGTATGGGCTCAACATCTTAGACTCGTAGTGTTTTGTGTATCATGTGAACAGAAAACACCTCATTAATCAGCTCATCTGCTAAGACAACTCTTTTTTTCCAAACGTCTCCTGAAGGGAAGCACAACCATCTATTGCCAATCTAATTTGTCTTTAATTAGAGAAGTTACAGTGAGGCTGGGAGTGCTTTCCTTGCTGGGGCCTAAAGAGAAGGTTTGTAAACCTGAGTCTCATGAGTCTTCTTTATTAACAGGTTATTTTCTCCCTGCACTACTGGTAATGTTGATGTAGAAGAATGTATGCTGCTGGTACGCTGAAGAGGTGTTCTCCAGTTGAGGGGATCTAATAGCAAAAGACAGAAGGAAAGAGAAGCCAGACAATTGTGCTAATCCACACCAAAAAGAAATGAAGAGAAATCAAAGCAGACTGGCAGCACCTTTAATTCTGCAGTATCTGTCACTGTTGTGCTACTGACCCTGAGTGCTCAGCTCTTCAATGTCAAGCTGCTGTTCCCCACAGCTGGCTCTAGGCATGGCACTGGAGCAGGCATACAGCAATGATAAGAGTGGGCAGGTGGAAGAAAGGGGGAAAAGAGCCCTACGAGGCAGTGCCGTGAATGGGATCTGACGCAGCAGCGATCCAAGATGCCACATGTGACACTACAGTCTACTTCAATCAAGGTCTACCTCAAAGAGCAGGGATGTAAGTGCTGAAGCTAATAAATGTTCAGGCTTGTCAGTGCTCTGGCCCCAGCGCTGTGGAGGGCTAAGTTAATCAACAGCTTCTCTGAGACACATTTAAAGAACAAGTCAGCCTTGAGCTCCCAGTGCTGCATAGCTCAGCAGGCCTAGGGAAGGAGGTTCACCCTTTGCCAGTCTCACTCGCTCAGGGGGGGTCAGGCACGAAAGGATACAGACAGCATCAGCTTGCTCCTACCCACTAGTGTGGAACAGTATCGCTGCCCACTTGCTCCAGGCCTCACGAAGATGGCAGGGAGATGCCGGCAGTGTAATTTCTAAATTACAAAGCTCAAAGTGACCTAAGGTTTCTGCCCAGTGGTGCTCTTATAGAGCAGCAGAAGCAAGGAGCAAGCAGCCCCAAGGACAGAGGGAATGAGACCAGCCTTTTGTCAGACTTGGCTGCACAACGATGTCCATCGGTGGCATCATGTTATCTATTTTGGCAGGAGCAACTCTTTGGGCTGCAACTGCAGACAGGTACCTGCTTCACAGCTCATCCAGCCCTTGGCAGTCCCAGCAAAACAGTGGAGGCTGCAAGTAACAGAGGAATGCAAGGGTGGACTGAAGGACAGAGAGTCCAGGAGGACTGGGGCTAGTCTGGGCCACCAATATGCACTTAAAAAACAGTGAAACCTGAAAAATACACCACAGCATAAAACCCCCACCACCACTCACATAGGAAACACACCATGTCTCGTGGGCTATCCCTTACCTCCAACATAGCCTTCCCTACTAGCTGAATCCTGCTAGCCACAGGAGAAGCCAGGTCTTTCTCCCTACCTGCTTCCTGGGCATGAAGCAGACAACCAACCTTTTCCCCTGGCCCAGGTGAAGGATCGGCTGGTCCCAATGCTCTCTGCCTCCAGCATGGCTGGCTCATTTTGCCAAGGCTGTGAGTGCAGCTCGCTGGATTTGCTGCTGCTCTTCAAAGGCGTGATGTACTTGGGCAGCCCTTTGTAGAACCATGCACCAGACCTCTTCCAAACCTGCCAGAGACAGAGACACAACACCTTAAGCCTGGGTTTTTACAGCAAGAGAGCACAGCCTTCCCACCAAGTTCAGCCAAGCCAATCCCACTGAGCTAGTTTGACCTCAAGGTGATCATGCAAGCCGTGGAGCGTCTTACATTCTCTGGGTCAAGACTACATGTTTCCCTGATGCCCTGCTTGAGTCAAACATATGTTCCCATGCTTACTACAAGGGTATCAGGATGAAGTTCCCTGGCCAGCACTAAGCACCCGGGAGTTCAGACACTGCAGCTGTTACTTTCCCATTGGGAATGCACAAAAAGAAAAGATTCCTGGAGAAAGCAGGCATGTGCCATGGGTGTCAATGGCCCCAAGCACATGCTCTGCTTAGAGGAAAAACAAGTCCTGCACTGGCTGGAGGAGCAGCAAGTCCTGACAAGTCTCTCCTCTTGGACCAGGACCCTCTTTACTTCCGAGAGCGTCAGACTGCAATGCCGGGACTGCAGAAACACTGCCTTGTGCAGTACCAAATGACACAACCTTGGTGTTCATTTCACAGAGCAATTCAGGCCAAGCCATATCACTTAATGAGTGGGCTTGAAAACCCCAGAACAAGAAAAACACCACCTAAATAATCTGAACCTGCAGCAGGAAACGGACCGAGAGCATTAAACTGTAATATCTCCTGCAAGAACGCCCTCTACTCTCCAATTTAGTTTTAATGCTGCTTATGATGAAGGAGCTCTATTAAGTATATTTAATATAAAGCCTGCTGTGAGCCAGAGGAAAGGAAAAGGATGGCAGCTCAGACAAGGAGAAATGGCCTCTAAAACCTAATTCTTTTGTGTCTTCCAGCAGTCTAATAATGAGCTAATGAGACAACCAGGGCAAAAGTTAATATAGTAAAAATATAATTTTCCATTTCATGCAGGCGGGTAGAAGCCTTGCACTTCTGTTCAGTGTGAAGGAGATCATCAGTGTTTCTATCCCAAGTTTTCAAAGCATCTTGCATATGGTATCACCATGATGCACTGGGCGCAAATGCAGATGTCCTTAATTACAGCAATATGTTTGCAATTTGCATTTAGGGTTTAATCAAAGCAGAGGGCAGTGATAACACCTGGCACTCATGAGAAGTTCTTCTCATGCAGGCACAAAAAGTAGGACACCACCATCACCATTTCACTGATGGGAGGAGATTGCTCAGCAGGTTGCCCAGTTCCTAGTCCAGAGCCATCACCACAGAGAGCTAAAATCTCTGTGTTTGGGGTCTTGAAAGCCAAGTGAAGGCAATCTGAATTCAGAAGGGAAACCTCGTAGTATGCTTTTTAAAAGAGCACCCAGCAGAAGCAGCACAGGATCGCTGGGACCCAGCACACACATCAGTACTGTAAGTACAAGAGACATGCTCATGTGTACCACAGCGGGATGTAAAAAGAAGGAGATGAGAACACTGCAACTACACCAACAATTTCCTGCTGGGTAACAGCCCAGAAGTGTGGTGAGTCTTCCATCCAAGCAAAAACTGGGAAGCCAATTCCCCAAAGGAGAGAAGACTGCAAGTTCTTCTACAGAAGGGGCTTTGGCAAGCAGGACACTTTACCAGCTCCTTCATCACAGGCAAGCAGCAAAAACAGTGACCAAAACTAGTCAAGGCACAAGCTGACACAGCTCCTTCTGTCCCCTCTGCTAGCACACAGGGACTGCACAGCATTTGGTACAACTTGTACAACAGCACTCAGTGCAGCACAGAGACCCTGGAGGAGCCTTGTTCTGCTATCCCAACAAAACCAAGAACTGGGAAATGGAACATGGTTTTTAAATGGGACAGACATCTCTACATGGAGTTCAGCCCACTGCCACTCAGGTAAACATACACAGGAGCAGCAGATCGGGCAAGCCCAGGTCTTCCTTGTCTCAGGGAAGCAAGAGGGCTTGGGAGCAGCTGCACCCACAGGGTTTGCACCCCAGTGAGTGCCATGGCTTGAGAAGGGCATGTTGTCTGTCCCCTGATGCACACTGGGTAGCTGGAACACACGTACCTTCCCTGCACAAACTGCCATGGAGGAAGCAAGCCTTTCTTACAGTCATTCTCTGAACAGACCTTGCAACATCTGTAATTTAATTTGAAGCACTGAAGAGACCTATTATCTTCAGGCAAGCTACAATTTAGGCACACCATAAATCCAATCAGACACAGCAAGGATTGCTGTAAGAAAAGGCTGGTCACCCCCAGGTTCCTCGCTACCCCAGTGCAAGTCCAGTTATAGAAGGAGTTAATGATACAATACACCCAGCTCTGAATTAGTAATACTAGTATAAAATTGAGTCTACAATACATACTCACTTTAAATTGGTGCTTCTGACAGTTTGGTCTCATTACAGCAGTAGTGAAATTGTTTTGAGATCAGCTCTAAAATAGCTGCAGCCAGATGCTCTCCCCTGTTTTAATTTAGCACCTCTGCTCTCCTCAGGTTAGCACCATGCCCCATCCAAAACGACAGCAGCTCACGTTCTGTTCTGCACATGGGCACACAGGTTAGTTTTAGCATCCATGCATCAAAACAGATCAATGCTGCTGACTGCTGTTGATGGTAGTTTCATTGATCGCAAGAGTGACCCGACAGCAAAGTTCTTGCTTGATTTTAAATTAATAAATCCATAACAGCTCTTCAAGAATAAAACTCCTGTTTATTAGCAGAAGTTTGCTCTTTCCAAGGAGGAAAGAGTTTTGCTCCCACCAGTCCCGTTGGCACATAAAGTGAAATCCAGCCCCCATGGCAGCCTGAGTTTGGGTAGAGTGGGAATTTCATCAGCAAGAGAGACAAACAGCCCCTTTCAGTCTCTTGCAGCAATCAAAATTTAAGTAACATTGGTCATCCCTTGCTCTAAGTGCTTGAAGGAGGGGAGTAACGATGTGTATCTGCATGATCCCAGATCAGGATGTGGTGGCCCAGTGTGTGGCTCAGGACAGAGCAGCCCCACCATGGTTCACTGGCTCGGCTGTCCCCAGCCCACTGTGCTCCAACTGCCCAGCCAAACACAACCAAACTCCACTCCTGTCCTTCTGCCTCCTTCTGACACTTAAGCTACCCTAGAGTAAAGTGAGGGAGAACATGGGGGAGAAGAGCTGCTTTAGCAACAGACTCCTTTTTTTTATTACTTCAAACCAATTTAACAGCCACGGCCATGACAAGTCCAGAGAGCTCACTGCCTTTTTAGCCCTGATAACACTCCTAGTAAAAGTTGCATCAAGCCGTCATTACAGCTATAGTGTGAGACGGTGAGAAGCAGATGTGTACTTTTATCTAGCACATCCAAGTGCAGCCTGTAAATGGGACGTAACAGAATCACTGGGCCCTGGTGAAACACATGTTACTACTCAAAATTTCCCCTTCTCTTTCTCCTCTGAACATACAGCACTAAACTAAGCTTCTAAACAGAAAACATTAGGACTTGCTGATGGAGGGACAGGATCACAGCTGAAGGAATCATAACTAACGCTTTCAGCCCCACTGAGTTCACTTCACCAAGCCACAAGCACCCTAAACAGAGATGCTCAGGAAGGATCCTTGCTGCAAAGCCACATTTTGCTCTACCACCTACTGCTTGCCATGCAGTAGCTGTTCTCATTCTACAGCCCCGTTCCTTCACAGCAGCCCAGCCTGGGCTGTGTGAGGGGAAAACAGCTACCTACAGCTTCCCATGCTGACACGAGCACTATTGGCTCAGTCCCCAACAGCTGAAAAGCGGGGGAGCAGGTTCCTGTAGGCTACAATGCTTAATGAAGAGAACGGCACCTGCAAATGCAACCACCCTGGGAGGACTTCGTTGGCATTGCCCTCACGCTGAACATGCCCACACACTCACTTTGTCCCAGCTCTCCACCATGGCTCTGGCACGTTGCAAACCACTGGCAGGGAGAAAGAGCAAACGCTCTTCAGCTTCGTTATTTGCATTCATCTGCTTTTCCATAACACAGAGATTTCCAATTACATTATTTACAGCAATCTGTTGTCAACTCCCACATTCAGCACTTGAGGATGAAGAAAATTAAAAGGCACTGAAATTGCTATTCGGAGCTTTGTTTCCGGAATAGCAAAATCTATCACACCCCTGACCCCAACGTTTCTCATGCTGCAATGGCTGCCAGCCTTCCATGAGTTATCATTCCCGTCTCAATCAGGCCTCTTTTTTTCCTGTGGCTCTATTCTAGAGGACACTATTTTGAGTCTAACCACTTTCTACCACCCCCAAAATAATATGGCAGGCTATTGATGAGTTCTTTGAATTGCAAACAGGTGCACATCACTTCAATTCAATCCAGAGTCACCCAAAATAAACACTCCCCTTCCATCAGGATCATTATTTTGCCAAGAAATCATCATGCCAGGCTGGAATAACGCCAGACTATGCTGGTTGGTAATGTTCAAAACTGTATGAGTGCATATGTGAAAAGGGAAGCCCTGGGGGCAAGAGGGGAGGAGGCAACTCCCTTGCTCCAGTGCAGTAATCTTCTTCTTCTGCATGGTTTATTGTGATAAACCAAAAAATGCAGCCAGCCATGAAAATGCCATTTAGTGGAAGAGAAGAAATTAAAGGAAGAGTGAAGCAGAGGGGACAAATTAAAACTTTAACAGGTCCCTGATAACTGACACTCTCTTTCAAATTTGATGGGGTTTAAAAAAAGCTATTTCCCCCCACCCCACTAAAGCTGTTTTCATTATCGCTACAATTTTGATGTGTCAATTCAAATGTAAATGTGCACAAATGCTTCCAAGAGGATTTTAATTATCATGATAGCATCGCTAATTATGGATATAGTACATATATATAAAGTGGTAACTCAGGAAGGTGCTTTGCAGAACCTGTGGTATCAGTCAAAACAAGGCTGTGCAGAGTTAAACAGCTGAGCAGGGATTTGACAAAACACAGCATGTCCCACGTCCCCTTCAGGCCAGGTGACAGGCAGACTTCAGCCACACGCAACTAATTCAACATGGGCATTGCTGCCCAAGCTGTTACCAAGCTCACGTGCTCTGCCTGAGGGCTGGCAGCAGGGAATCATTCCAGCTGTATATATGCCCACCACAGCTCCTCCCGGGCAAGGTTTGCTCCTCTGACAGCTGCTGCAATAAGCCTTTTCTGCTGGAGGACTTGCTCCCTTTCTGCCCTGTGCTCTCATTCCATGGGTGCATCACTGCTTCACAGCCAAGTTAGTGAATAGGCTCACTGCAAACCTGTGGCCAGTGTTTGCTGCAGCCAGGGAACAGGCTTTCTAATCATGCCATGGCACTTCATATGCATGCAGAGACAGGACTGTCCCAGCGAGGATCAGACCTCCACACTCAGTCTCCAGGAAGTCAATGAAAGATGAAAAGCCAAGAAAGGCAATGCAACACACAGAGGAGGGAAGAAAGAAGGGAGATTCTTGCCCTCGAAAGTGAATGTGATCTTGATTGAATTTGCTTCTACCCTTGCTTGCAGGAACAATAAAACACAATCCACATCTGCTTTAATTCCACCGCCCTCAGAAGGCATTGCACAGAATCCTGGAGGAACAAAAAGGTTTTTTTCAACAGATACCTCTACGAACAGCTGGGACAAGTGATATTCCAAAAAAACCAGTTCTGGCCTAAAGCAGATGAGGTCTATCTTATTTCAGGAAGAGAGGCACTTATGATGCAGGGATGTCTGCAGGTCTTTGGGGATGTTCTCTTTGTCAGTAGGAATATCCAGGCTCTTTCAGGTCCCAGCCATGTCAGAGCTCAGTGCTTTCCTCCCAACACCTCCCTGGCACCTTGGAGACCCCCTCAGCCTGCTCATACACATCACACTCAGCAGCTCAAGTGCTGCCCAACACACTGTTTTGCTTTTGGATGATTGGGACACAAGCAGCAGACAGAATCCATCAATCGCCTCCACTCTCCCAAAATAAGAGTGTCAGAGCAACTTGCTCCTCATTGATATGCAGCACAGCCTTCCCAGTGGAGGTTTTTAAGGAAGCAGAAAGCAGCAAAGAACACTTCTGAATGGCTGAGGCTGGGATTCCCACAGGGATCTATGGGCACCAAGCATTCAACTCCAACTGAAAAAACAGCTTGTTACTTTGGTCTTCAATTTGACCCAGGCAGACAGATGATTTAATCATTACTGAAGCCAGCAGATACTGCCCATACAGCAAAAGGGGGAGATGACTACCACGTATCACTAAACTAGCTTAAATCAAGTCTACAGGGATAAATAACAACAAGGAAGATAGAGGGATGAAAGCTTTAGCAAATATGAACAATGCAACACACCACAGCTGTTAGCTAGCATATGTAAATGTCCAACCCCACCATGCTTGCTTGAGATCCTGGTGGGCCGCAAGACCCACGTGCTCACTCAGTGCATGGCAGAGGCTAAAGAGAACAATTATAGTCCTAGGCTCTTGTCCCAGCCAGATGACACTTATTAACTCTAGCCAACATCATTTAGTCCACCCAGGTTTCCAAATGACCTCTCTTTCTCATTACAGTGCCTGACAGTCTCTTGCTAACAGAATCAAGAGCTTCAGAAATATCATGCTCAAATAGCTTGAGCAGTGGTTCAGAAAATTAGACAGCGATCAAAGCACTGATGTGGGTGGAATCACCTAGCTTGGAAACACCACATCTTATCACACCTGCTGGTGGAGGCACTTCAGATCAGCATCAAACACTCACCCACCTGAGCTGGCCAAGTTCAGGGGCCTGACGAGCTGGGAGGTGTTGCCAGAGCTCTGTGGCGTGGGACAAGCCTAGTTTAATCATGTATTTTGTTGGCATGGGCTAAAGGACAACCTTGCTCAGTCATGCTGTGCATTGAGAAGGGGGGAGAAGAAGGGTGATTTTGCCTTGTTACTGCATCACACAACACAAAGTGCTTCAGTGTGTTCCTGAAGCTCCCTGCCTGAATGCCAGGAAATAAAACAGGTCCGACACCTACTCACCATGCATAGGATTCAAAGGTTAGACAGAATTGAGAGCATGTGATCCCAAAAAGCAAACAACCATCTGCACTCACTGATAGCAAATATAACCTTCATCAAAGAGCATGGCCAAATGGGGTTGGTCCAGAGCAGATGGCAATACGAGACAGATCCAGATCACAAAACCAGACAGCAACAAGGAACTGGTTGTGAACACAAGCCCTTAAAAGAAACCTGGTAATTTAATGCATGCCCTGTAATATCATGACACCAGAAGCAGTTTCAGGGACTGCACCCGTCATCAATCTGAGGCCTAACAGCCTCATCTGTTCCTCACACACTTAGGGAAGATTTGATCAAGCCACTTGCCAGGCATTTATTCTGATATTGCCTCAACTTCCTTGCCCTGGCTGACATGCCTCAAGGCTTCCTCTAATTCTCAATGCTTCTCTGCCCTCCTCCAAATTAAAAGCAGAGCATATGGGAAGACAGAAGGGATGTATATGACTTGATGCCTGTCTGCATGTCCACCTGGTCAGGGCACCAGCACCACTGCAAACAAGAAAGAAGACATACATGAACTGACCTTAAATATAATCAAAAGATAAAGATGAAGCTTAGGGTTGGGAGGTAAGATGAGGCTGTTTTTTAGCTAGTCTAAGAAGGAAAGTTCCATCCATTTTCATTAGGAAAACACTTTGGCTGTATCTCAGGTTTCAGAGAGAGCGTGAGCTCTGAAGGTTACCCTACCCTCACACACTGGCCACTCTAACACTTACTGGACAGGTTAATATTCTCTGTCCAGTGGCCACAGCTCCTCATCATTTTTATAAGAAACACGAAAAAACCCCAAACACTTACACAGTGTGAAATGAGGGGGAAAAAAAAATACAGAAAGAACAGAATAAAAGAAATAAAGACAATTTTAGTCCCATACCCGTCTCTCCGAAGAACACAGAAAATACCTTGACTTGCCTCACTCTCCATTTCGGGACCTACATCTGGAATCCAAAACATCCCGATGATTCAGTGTATCCAATTATTAGCAATGTCCAAGGAGCTGGAATGCTCTCTGCCCGCCCTACCCACACTGCTGCTCAAAAGCTTAGGACTGGCAGCATCCATGTACCCCTTGTCTTAGCTGAACATGAACTTTGCAAGTGATCCCGCACAAACAGTCCCCTCTGAGGTAAAACCTAAGCAAGGCTAAGTTTCCACAACTAGTATAAAAATTTCAGCAAAACACCTGCACAAATGCTCTCACTACACTTCAAAAATTGATGTAGCAGAGTATCCAGGTTTCACAGTTGGTTGCAGTGGTCAGAAATAGCTGTACTAGATTGATGTTCAAGGACCACAAGCAAAAGTCCAAAATAAATTGATGGGAACAAGTGAAAATCCTTCTGTAATCACAGAACAAATTCACCGACTTCACTGTAGAGCAGCAAGCCCTAATGTTGGTGGATGCTGGCTGGCAGACAAGAATTGAGGCAGGCCATTACTTTTTCCTGTGTAAAGTCAAGGATGAAGGATATAAAAATTTAGAGACCTGCATTAGAAGTCTCACACACTGTCAAGTTACGGGATTTTGCAGGCAGGGAGGAAACAGTCTTATAAACTGCAATCCTAGTTATTTTTAGAGGGACAAATATTGCAGTTATCCTCTAGATCTCTCCAGCTGTATTGAAGAACCAGTATTAGCCAAGTTTATTTACCACAAAGCTAGGAGGGAAAAAGCGGGGCAGAAGGTAACAGTCTCTTTATGGCCAGAAAAATTCCACGAAGCTCTATAGTCTGAAAGTGATATTGTGGGATTTTTTTCCCTCTACCCCCTGACAAACCAAAGTTTTCACCATTGTGTGTGTTCACTGAGCATCCCAAATCCAATCCCAAGCTCCTCTCCAAGCACCCAGGCACTCCAAGCACGCTCAGCATAGACTTGGGGCAGGTAGGTGCATGCTGCTGAGCCCCATCTCTCCACAGTTGCGTTTTACCTCTCTTTGTTCACTGCAGATCTTGCACAACCAAAGAGGACGTTTCTGGGCTCCAAAGGTTTCTATTCCACACTTGGTGCAAACTTTCTGAAACAACAGAGGAAAAAAAAATGGTGGCGTTAGCAGCTCCCCACAGCCATTTAGTCCTTGTGAGAGAGAAGGTCAGGAAGCATCTTTCCTAACAGTTTTGATTTGTTTTCCTTTAAAACCTAAACATGGCACAATTTTATTTATCCTGTAGAACCACTGATCACAGGAAGCTGCTCCAGGTCTATATGGACATGAGACAAAGGTAAATCTACAGTACAGTCCTTGACTCCATGGCAAGAAGAGAACTGGAAAGGGCAAATCAAAGCCCATGACCAATAGGCGTATTTCTAGAGCTGTTTTTTTAATCCTAAACCCCAATCACTGTGCCATGGAAAGCAGCTATAACCAAGTACAAACCAAGTTTGTGCAAGACTGGAAATCCTCTCCTCCCTTCCCTCACATACATAGTCTCAAACCCCATGGCTTCCCCTCCATTTCGGCACACACTTGACAGCTATTGATTTGTGGCACGGCCATGCCTACATGAGCACTGCCTGAGCAGAATGCTTGATAATGCTGCATGGCCTGTGCTGCTGTACAAGGGAACTTTTCATGTCTCCGCTGGCATTACAAGCCATTTACAACCTGAATCACCTAATATATAATGAAGCTGATGTGTATCAGGGTTGGCTTACAGCTTGAATGAGAAATTGGATGAATTCTATGATCTTCACAGAGCAAAAGCCACTCAGAAAAGGGCCCTGGAGAGCAAAACCTTGCTCTCCCCAAGCTAAGGTTTTCCATATTCCCCCCACCAGGCTGCTCCTCCTCTGAGCCAGGAGGCCTGTGTTCAAGGATGAAAGTCTCAGTGGCTTACTTAGCCCTCACTGCCCATGCCTAGAGGAGGAATGATGATACCTGAAGCAATGGCTTCATTGCATGAATAAATGCACCCAGCTGTTTTGGTCAGCATAATCCAGAGGTAGGTCTGTCATGCTACACAGAAAGTGGAAGGCAGCACTAGCAGCCCCACAGAGGTTGGTGCTCTTCTCCATCTCTCTGTTCCAGCTCATCTTTGCAAAGAAATAAGGAGCAACCTATTGTGTCTGATGCATCAATACTCAACATGGTGCTACCCAAACCAAGGGGGATTGCAGATGCAATTAGCAGACACCACCTTAACTACCCCAAATTCTCCCTCCCTCAAACCAAAACCTGAGGGAGCAACCCAGTCTTAAAATACCCTCAAAGATCCCAATTCCCACACATATAGCACATTCAAACGCTCCCTCTAGTGGAAGTTTCCAAGCGATTTTATTCCTAGCCATAAATTTTCAAAGTTCTGATACAAACTGGGTTTATATTGAGCATCATTCACAATCCTTCAGAAGACGACATAAAAATCAAGGACATTAAATGCAGCCTCATTCCTATTTAAATACAAGGCACTTTCTTCTCTTGCACTTCACCTTTTATACATGACACTGATACCCTCTGCACAACAAATGACCTATTATGCTTTACCTAACTACTGTTATTGTTAACACATCTGGATTTGCATACATCTTTGTCTTGCCATTATGCATTTATATCTAAGATAGTAAAAACTAACATTAAATACATTCTTTGTAAAACAGAAAGTGGCACTTAGAAAATCCATCAGGCTGTAAGAAATAAAGAACCTCTATTCAGCAGAAGGGACTTACCAAAGGTAAGTTCTCTGCTATATTTCAGATGCATCATTACAACAATTCCTGTTACTGAATTATGTGAGCTGCAATGAGATAGTGACAGAGCAACGCTAGCAAGAAGAACAGGAACTTTAAAAATCCATAATTCCCTGACAAGTAATTTCTTACTGCATACAGCACTGCACGAGTGATGGATATCCCTGGACGAGAGGGAACAAGCTTAAAGTAACCGTCTACTCTGTGCGCTCTAATGAAGGGTTGACTGTTCCCCCAGTTCACTCCTCAGCATTAAAAAGCAGTACGGGGCGAAGGCCAAAGCACCCAGTCAGCATTGCCCTGAGCTTGCACACAGCTGGAAACTACAAACAAGCAGAAAGCAGCTGCAAAATGCACACTGGAAAAGTAGGGTCTCACCTTAAAACCACCTGGGTATGAATGCTCCTGAACAGACTCCAGACAAAAAGGGAATAACCATAAAAAATAAAACCTAAAACCTCAGCCCTTCTCTGGGTTTTTCGGGTCACAGCTGGGCTCCTGCAGCCTCACTAGCTGGGGGATTCCTACCTGCGACTGCAAATGGACATGGCAGGGAAATGGCTGAATCAGTTTTTGCCTCCCCATTAGCGTACAGGGCTCATAGGAAGCACTGTGGCAATGTAACCTATCTGGTTTTGGACAAGGCGAGAGCAGAATCAGCAAGGGAAGAAGGCAAGAATACGGCACATCCTGTTATTCCATGTGGTTGAAACGCAGGAAACAGCCAGCCGTCTCTTGTATGCTATCCAGCCCTTTATTTTCCATCAGCATGCATGCATAGAGCCCACAGTCCCCACGCTCCTCACTGAGAAAGCTGCCCTGAAGCTTCAATTCAAACCAGACCTTTCACTTCCCAGTACCTTACTGCTTCCCCAACACTTACTAAAATGCTACTTTCTCCCTGGCTTAGGACCCAGAAGTTCAAAGATTTGTGTATACTTTCCCAATCACTACCTTACAAGAAATCTGTATAACCCCTGCCTCAGCCAAGCTACTTCTGCAAACTGGATCCAGTGAAGAAACTCACTCGACAGCAAAGGCAGCACAGCTCACAGCAGCTCCCTGCCCAGCAAGCACATATTGGAGGGTTGCTGGGGCCTCGGTACTGACTCCAAGGGGCACCCACCTCCCTTCTCTTACAAGAGCTCTGAGCCCAGCAGTGCTGCAGCCAACCATGGACCAGTGCAGGCCCAGTCTGGCAGACTATTCTGCATGAAAACTGCATTTCACAAATGCCATAAGTGCCAGCACACAAGGTTCTCTATCATGAGTGGCTGCTTAACCACAGAGGTGCCAACATGCACGATTCCATGGCAAGGAGCAGGTTTTACTCAGTGTTGTCCTGTGAGATCCACAGGACACCTCCTCAGTGACAGGGCAGGTGACACTAGCAAGTGTCTCCTTGGCTCTGGTACCCACCAGGGACAGAGTCAGCACAGGCTGCTCCTTTCCACTCTACCACCAGCAAGTCAGAAACATTCCTGCACCCAGCAGGTACCCTCACCTCTCCCCATGCAACATGCTGAGGCAAAGTCACTTACAGAGTGATCTCCCCAGGGAAAGATGGGCTTCAAGTGCAGGAAAAACAGCCTCCCAGCAGAGGGAGGATAAGGTGGTTGCCTTGGAGATCATCATCTCCACAGCAATACATATTAACCCCTTGGCTGCAGAGTCTAGACAAGCAACAGCTATCCCTCAGGGTGCTGGCAAAACAGCAATCTGCCTGAAAACTAATACTGCCTTTCAAATGGCACCCATGCAGCCCTGCGAACAACATATTCAAACACAGGCAGCCATCAGTGCACAGGGTTGGAAACTTTACACTGGTTTGGAACTTGAAGATGGACTTCACTCTTCCAGAAAGAGGCATTACCGGAAATTCTGAGGGCAGACCTTGCAGAAAGTAACAGTAAAGCACAAAGATTATTTTATTAGTTGGTTCTGATGGTCATACATTTCTGCCCCTTCTCCCACTCTGCTAACCCAGAGTGGGAGATGCAGAGGGAGCTGATGCACTAAGTGCAGCTTAGGCACTTTAGGATCCTAAGGAATAAGGGGTGCAAGAGAAAACCTGATGCTCTGACTGCTTCCAAGTGGCCTGGTGGACTTTCTAGACGGGTCTGCTACCAGGAACAGGCAGGAACCTGTGTGACCAAACCCACCTTTTTGCAATCCTGACAAAAGACTGATGTGCTACCCAGCAGCCCGAGCAGTTCACCGCAAAGCAGACACTGTGAGAGGCCATTCCCCATCGCGTTCTTCCTCATGTTCTCCAGCCGCTCCACCAGGCGCCTGTGGGGAGGAGGCAGAGCAGAGGTCACAGCGCTCACCTTGGAAGTGGAAGCACATGGTATTGAGCCATGCCGAAAACCTGCAGACGTGTGCTCCATGCTCAGCCTACCTTTGCTGCTTCTGTGCAGTTTTGGGTCCCATGCTGGGACCATATGTACTTTCACTTCAGCCTCTACACTCAAGTGTTTCCTATCAGCTGGCTCTTGGTCCTCAGGGGATAAAAACCTGCTTAAGTCCATCTACTTACTGATGCTCACCAAGCCTAGAATAACCAAAACTTTGAGTACTACTGAGAGGTGTGACTCAGCTAGTGGGTGCAGGGCAGACAGCTCAGAAGGGCAGCTTGATCCTACACCCTTCAGGAGCTCAGTGTCACTGTAGCCACACAGTCTCAGCACAATGATTTCCTGCCTGTAGAGCAGGCAAAGCCTTTAGTGCTCAGATGAGGGCAAGTCAGACAACACAGGGAAAGGGCAGAGGAGTTAGACCTGCTAAGCCCTGCTCCATGTTTACATATATTCCCTGAAAGCCACACTGCAGGCATGTGACTTGTCCACATCCCATTACAAGCAGGAAGGCCAGACTTGAAGCCATCAGACCAAAATGAGACTGGCTGGAGTACAGTAATGCCAGAAACCGCTCCCTGCTGTGATCGACAGCCTGCTTGGAAGGCAGGAAGCACATATGTATGCACGATGTCCATAGCAGCAGGACTATGAAAGGGAAGGAAGGTGGGATAAGCAGTTAGGATGCAGGATGCGGAGAGCATGCAGAGCAAGGCTGCTGTCATGAGATCACTGCCTGGCAATTCTCAGGCATCCATTTGTAGATGGGGACACTAACAGCCAGGCCATTTATCAGAGGCAGTGACCAGCCACAGCCACACACATGCATGTGGCTCAGGAAGGAAATGCAATCATGCTGTCCATGCAACCTCATTCTCATTAGCACTAATGTCCCGTCAACTAAGTCCTGTACTGAGAGGAAGGCAAGGTCTATTTGAAAGAGGTACTGCCTATAGTGATGAGGTCAGAGAGGAAAGGCAGGCTGAGCCATCGTTAGAAGATTTATGATTCCTGACTTCAGCACAAGAGAATTCTCAGGACTTATCAAAGGCATTTCAGAGAATGCTTCAGCATGGGCACAGCAAGACTATCACCTTCTGCAACTACACCACCCACCACACAGAACGATCAGGCCCTCGGGGTTCCTGGCTGCTTCTGGGGCTGCTGGGTCTCTGTTATATCACACAAATATCACTGTAGGGTCTCGTTAGCACTAACAGGCCCTGTACAGGGGCAGAGCACAGTGCAGGGGCAGGGAGCTGAGCCTGCTGGACGTGGGCTGGGAGCTTCCTGTCTCACAAACAAGACCTCCAGCAGGACTGAAAGCAAATAGAAATCTGCAGCAGCAAAAGGATGCCCATAAATTAATTCAAGCTAGCAAACCCCTTCCAGAGGGCTCAGCCAACTAGAACAAACTCATTCACTGCTCCAGGGGGCTGCCACAGACAAGGAAAAACCTCACTGTGCTGCCAGGAGCAGTTCCTGAGCCATAGTGTCCACTAGGAGTGAGTGCAGCTGCACAGATCAGCATCTTCCCCAGAGCCACCGGGGCAGCTGCCTTAGCACAGGCTGCATATACCAGGGACTGTGGTCAGTGGCTGCAACCACAGCAAGCCCCAAGGCTCAAAGAAGGCACAAGAAAGGCTTGAGACAGAGACAGAAGGAAAACACCACATCCTTCCCAATGTTCACCTCCAAACAAGCAGCATAGGAGGAGAAAATAAATGACCTAAGGGATGCTCTGACTGATTGAGGCTGAGCTCAGGCAGCCAGAGAGCCACTCCTCTGCCTGGGCTGACCTGTCCTTCTGAGGGAAGGAGACAAATGAATGTGACTGTACCCGATGCGCTGCTGCTCGATGATGTCCAATTTCTCTGCCTTGCGGATGACTTCCAAAATGACCTCAAGTTCCTGTGGGCTCAGAGCCTGCATCTTCCTCTGCTTCTCAGTCTGGAACGTGTGCACTGACCAGCCTGTCTGCAGCCTGGGAGGGGGGAGCAGAGTGAACAATTGAGCTGTGGAAGGAAAGCACAAAACCCTTGCCATGACCCACAGGGCCAAGCCTGCCAGGCACACAGAGCCCACATCAGCCTTCCATCAGAGAAGTCTGTCCCCTGGCTGATGCCCAAAGCAGGAGTCTCTTCTCACTGACTAGATCACTCCTCCCACAACAAAGTGCTGCGCTGTCTCTCCCTGCCCTCTCATTTTCCTCTCTGCTCCAGTTCATATTTTAGCACTCCATGTCCTCACTCCTGTTTTGCTCTGCCCAGAAAGAAAAACTAGTGCACCTAAGGATGGCCATCCTGGGAGTACCCTTCCAAAGATGGGTGCTGATGCCAGACACTACAAATCCCAAAGGCAGACTCTGGAACACAGGGATTACCTGCACCCACCTCTCTCCAGATGGCCTGTTTCTAAGATCCTCAGTTCGAACACACAAATCATCAGCCACACATGGAAATATAAATTGGGCAACTTCCTCCCTTGTCTAACCCAGGCCCCCAACAAGGACTTCAGCATCCACTTCCCTCCATGCCTTACATACAGCAGCTAACACTGCTCCTCAGCTCACTTGGGGACAGGCGGGAGCTTTCACAGCAAAATTAATTACCATTCAGTAGGGGTTTAGAGGTCACTAGCTAAAGTCACAGCTGCTGCAGAATGCAGGGCACTATCAGACACAGCTGTCTTAATGAGGCTTTCAGGTGAAGGCTGGTGAAGCAGCAGTGGTGTGCACTGTTCACAGTCCCCTCAGACACAGTGTGACCTCCTATCTTCTAACACTCTACAGCAGGCTGACCCCAGAGGTTCAGACAACAGCAGAGGTGGCAGTGGCATGATACTGGCTGCCAGAGAAGAAAAGCATACAGGAAACAAATGCAATTGTAGTGCTTGATTCATCTCCATCCCTTTTGTCTTTAGGTTATGCAGTAATTTAACTTCAGGGGAAATGAGATCAAATGACAAGTTCCTAATATAAAAGAGTGCTGGCAGCTGGGGGATGCTATCAATTATATTTTAGGGTGCTGCAGAGACATAAGCATGCCTCCAAGCCCTCCCTTTCACCCAGGGAAGGGCTGGTGAGATGGAACACACCACACAGCAGCCAAACTGCAAACTCCACTGCAGGCTGGCAGCTCTGAGCAACAGCCAGGCACCGAGCCCCAGCTCAGCAGACTCCCACCCAAGCAGCATACTTCTAGGCTACAGAGGGGTTTGCATGACAAGCAAACTCCTGGGAATGAGGCCAGTGGTCCGCACAGATACCCGGAAACCATTCAGGCCAGAGTCAAGACTGGAACAAGAGGAGAAGGAGGATGGTGAAGACTCACTTGGCACGCAGCGCAAGCTGCCGGTCGTTGGGGCACACCCACTGGCCTGTCCCGCTGCCGAAGATCATGTCAGCCATGGCACCAGGCTGGGAGGAGAGGCAGGGATCACACCTGTAAGAAGAAAACACCAGCACTGAGTACAGCTGCCACTCCACCCTCATGAAATCTCAGGGCAGTGCTTGGCACAGCCTCCTTAACTATCCCAAAGGGCTGCTCTTCTGGCAAGCAAAACACAAGTGATCTGCTGGCATCACAAACAGTGGAAGGAGACAGACTCTCACCCACAGACAGCAACAAAAACATCCTATGATCCTCATAAAATACAAGCCAATAGATACCTTCAAATACCTTGAAGACAAGGGTGGAAGTTTATATTTTATAGTATTCTGAAAAACAGAAAGCCAGAGACTGTCAGTTCTGATTTTTCATTTCAAACTAGAGAATAGTGTTGTTTTTAAGAACAATCTCTGCTCCATCACCTCTGGCGCCCCAGCGCTGCACTACTGACAGTGAAAGCCACCCTAAAGGACACAAAGAAGCTACAAGTTGCTTTTTTGTTTACTTCTTAATAGGATAACAAACAAAAACCCACTTGACAATCAGCATGAATAGTGGCAAGACATTTTGTTCATTAAAACTGCTTCCATAATAACCTGATATTTATAACTATAGTCTACACCAGCAGCTTGTTTGCATTCTCTGATGTTTAAGACAGCACCTCTTGCAGCAGATTCTCCTACTGAGGCTCCTGTGACCGGCACAAACACACCAGTGAGTCCTTGTTCAATTTCAGTATCACTGTGAACTGATGAGTAAAGGCAGCAAAAACCAATTTCCACACACTCATAGGAAAAACACATCCCCAAGAGACTTTGCAGCTAAGCAATTCTGAGTCCTACCAGCAGCAAAGATGAACAGAAAGCACCAAGGGACAGACACAGCCAAAAGATTTCAGTGGAGGCAAAAGTAGTCTTGATGTACAGAGCTTTTCTCCAGCTGGATATGCTCTCCAGCAGACCAAGTGTCTCACGAGACCTAGTGCAAAGATTTCCAGGTATTAATACTTACCTTCCCTAGAACAGTCACTTGCCAGCTTTGAAACCGTACCTGCTGGGCAGAGATAACATGTTTAATGCTCTCTGGCAAACACAAATCAGATACAATAGCAGGCAAGGTATATCACCTGCCAACTGTGCAGTAGTTCCCAAGAAAACACATGTTCCAGTCTCAACCACAGCACTCTTACCCCAGCAGTGCCCATGGCTCAGTGTGCTGTACCTATACTTGCTATCTACGGCTGACACACAGAAGTTTCTGCTTCTGTGCCAGACAGTAGGCATCACAGGCTGCATGGCCTTGGCCCTCTGACACAGGCAGCTTGTGCAAATTCATCTCCCTCCCTGTGCTGAGCTCACATGTGCCACACACTACACTCACTCCCCAGCACAGGAACGCTAACTCATGTTAAGAGAACTGACAACTACCTCCTGCCAAACCCCACGTCAGCCTTGAGAGCCAAAACTGTCACAAACAATGAACTAGTTCCCTCCTCTCAGATCACCCAATTTTTGGAGTGAGTCTGAAAACTCAGTGCTTACAAAAAACAGGAGAGAAGAGGAAGAATTCCACAGGAGGCACAGATTTCTTTCAGTGCAAGGGAACAGATGTATAGAACAGGTGAAGGCTTTAACAATTCAGCATAATGCTCATCAGGCACAGTCCAACTGCACACCAAAGTGAGGTATGGAGGAGATAAGAGGGAATCTTCTGCAGGGAAGATTTGGCAGAGAAAGATGGTTGAGACAGCAAGGACAGACAGAAGTGTCACACACAAGTTTTTAAACCTTTACTACATTAGTTAAGGTAATCACTTTTGAAAAGGATCAGCCCTAGAATAAATCCTTGAACGCTGGCATCTTGGCTTACCAACGAATGCCACACATGCTGTGGCATTCCCATTTTGTCCCAGAACACCTCCTGCTCTTTGCATCTTCTTCACAATCTCAAGCAAGGAGAGAATGCAGCAGTCCCCATACACATCCCACAGCAGCTCACACACAGGGGAGCAATCAAACATTACCAGCAACAGAATCTGGACATTCCCACCCCCAGGCCAGCATTAAAAGCAGAAAGAAGCTACAGTTTCACAGAGAATGGAAGACCTGGGATTTTCCAGAGATTTTCCAAGCCTGTGATGCATTGTTACAGGATTACATGCACATGTAGCCTCACAAACACATATATTAAATTGCTCTTCAGATATACCATGTACCCTTCCCCCCCCTCACACACACCTGAAGTACTCAGTGTCCACTGGTAAGGCTAAGTGCACTCAACCACACTGATGTGAGCAGTACTGGCAGCTGTGGGATGTTTAGCATAAAAGCTAGAGCTGGAGATGAGCCCAATACCATGGTTAGGGCAGAGGAGTTTGCTTTGCCAGCAGCTGTGCTTTCAGGGTGGAAAGCTGTGCTGAATACATCTGCCCCTTTCTCAGCAGAGCTTTATCTGCTCTAACAGAGCTGAAGGCAAGGCAGAATAGAGTACATCAGCTGAGCATTTTTCTCAGGAGAGACCTAAACACATTCTCCAGCCTCATACCACAGTGCGCTTTTCTCAGCATGACTGAACAAAAACAAGCAATGTCATGCTCTTTTGCCTCTTGTTACTCAGCATAAGCTTTCTGTTCTCCATTCCCTGAGCAGCATCTGCAAAGAAAGGAGGAAAACAAAGCGCAGCCTAGAGACCCATCATATGCCAAAACAGTCTTCAGATTGATTATTCCCTAAAATATTTACAGGAGCATTTTCTTTTGGCAGCTTTGCATATCTGCTGCTCCCTCTGAGGTAAACTGGCATTGAAGGTGGCTTTGCACCTTTGTATGAAGAAAGCCTGGTGTGGTTTGATACAACTATGTCAGAGAAGGAAAGAACGACATGAACTGCAGGCCACAGTCTGCTGGCGTAAAACAGAAGGACTAGCAAGACTGGAGGGAAAGGAGTATCTTGCATGGCCATGGGAATGATGCCAGAGAAATGGTACCAGTATCTGGAAGTCATGAAGCATCCTCCCTTTTATCTGTGTACAGGACAATTAGTACAGTGAAATCAGCCTAATCAGAAACACCAAGATAGCAGAACCACTCCAGCCTGGGGGGTAATTTCTATGGGCTGTGGTGAAACACCCCTCTCTTGCAGTCAGCCTCTACTGCATTCTCTCTCAAAAACACTCCAGCTAACATGTACCTCACCGAGCCATCCCTGTCTCCTGCTCCTCTTAACAAGCTAACAAAGGGCAGAAGCAGCCAGCCTCTAGCAGTGAGAGAACAAGAGAAACCCACAGCTCTTGGCCCAGCTGCAAATACACTGCATACAGAATAAAGGGGCAGCACAAGTACTTAGTGTTACAGAAAAAAAACCCAAAACTTCCCACTCCAAGATTCTACTTTTTACTGGAATTAAGAATTAAAGGGGAGTTCTTATCAATACTCTGTGACCCGCTTGAAAAACACTCCACCTGTTTGTTCCTTTCCTATGATGGAGGAAACCCCATGAAACAAAACCTCATTAAATCTGAGTCCACCTGGCTGCCCTTGGCACAGATGCTAAGGAGAGTGCAGCAAGGAAGGAGTGCTACCTCGCAGCAAACCAACCCTTTGCACAGGGCCAGGAGCATTTTGGAGGATGCAGACCTGAGCACATCTCTGCCTGCAGCTCTGATGACAGCCTCTGCTGCCTCCATGATGAGACTTAGACTCCATAGCCAGAGAACAAGGCACCTGAGTACATTACTTTGGTCTGCAAGGGTTAAGTCTTCCAGTGGGGTTTGAGCGAAGGAAAAAGCTGCAGGGTCACGCTGATGATTTGGTCCCACATCCCTGCAGAATGACCGTAACATCGCCAACTGAGCAGGATCTTTCCCACTGGACAGTCCCCACTTGGCCTGGAGGATGAAGGTGGCTGCAGCCAGCTGTGGGGCAGCAGGTCCTCCAGGCTCTTCTATGAAAGAAGGCCAGTTTTCTCAGCAGAATAGCAACATGAACGTCACACATCTTTAACAAGAGCACAGACATAGCAGGTCACACCAAAGGTCCAGTGCGCATGGTACCTGCTATCTGACCAGCTCCAAGAACAGATACTTAAAGAAGACTATTAGAACAGAGCACAATGCAGCAATACTTTTCCAGAATACCCTCCCAGCCTCCAGAGATTCCTGGATCATGCACGCCCTAAGCCAAGCTGTAACTCTGTATTTAATACCCTTAACATTTTACTGTCCCAAACTCAACTTGCTTTACCAGTTCACTTACACTTCTAGCACGGTCTCGCTACACCGAACCACTACCCCACTCCTCCACCCCAAACACATTTTGACTTTACCTTGACTACATCAAAGTTAAACCTGAAGGGTCTTGTTGACATTGAGGCAATCCTTGCAGTAGAAAATACCTCCTCCCAGCAGCGAAAGCACAGCCTGCACAAGCCCTCCTGCCGCTGGGCTGATTACAGGTGCTCATGAAGCATTAATTCCTCGGAGCCCTGCAAATACAAAAATGTCCTACACAGGCCCATAAGGAGGTCTCCAGTCATTCATTTGCCCAGTTATTTCAGAGAAGCAGCTCATGTCTATATTAATTTGGGTTTATAGGAAATTAATTAGACAATTTTTTGTTTAATACTTCATTTAAAAAATAAAAATTAAACAGTTGGCCATAGACGAGCTCCCAATTCCCAGCCCGAGCTGTGACAGCATAATTAACTCGCCTGCTTCCAGGGCGTCAGCTCCCCCAGGACTCCCAGCTTGCACCAGGTACCGTGCTGGCCTGTTTCTCCTTTTAGCTGCTGCTCCCTCAGAGAGGCAGTGTAATTACTCTCTGCTCCAGACCCCATTATCCCCGGGAAACCTTAGCAACTAAGTGAGTGTTTGCTCTTGTTGCTATGACAGAGGATAAATGAGTAGCAGAGATAGATAAGGTTAGCCTGGCCTCTGCCTCCCACCCACCGCCGGCCAGTCCCTTTTCCCCACAGGCACAGTCGCGCAGCAGGGAGCAGAGCACAACAGGCAGGGAAAGGCTGTT